CTATTGGAGACGGTGCCAACGATGTTTCTATGATCCAAGTGAGCGTTTAACTATTACTAGCTACTACCTACCGGTCTCCTTCTACTTCTTCTATTATATTTCCCTCTAACAGTGTTTGGGAAACGGTCGTCCGCAGTAATTGCTATCCATCATTCAACTCAATACGTCATGCTTCTTCTACCTTACCTGGATTGGCCCTTTTCGAATGGCTAAGCCCTCCAATTTTCCAACTCAATTTACAGTGTGCTGACGTTGGTGTCGGTTTATCTGGTCAAGAAGGTATGCAAGCGGTGATGGCTAGCGATTTCGCCATGGCTCGATTCCGATTCCTCGCAAATCTACTGCTTGTCCACGGTCATTGGTGTTATCAGCGACTTGCGCAGACCATTCTCTACTTCTTCTATAAAAACGCTGTAGGTTTTCTCTCACTAGGTAGCTTCAGCTACACTCTGCTCAAGCGCTGGGTATTTTACTAGAGAGTGGTTGCCCTTTACTATACTTCCAGTTTCAGATGTTCGTATTCACCATCTTCTGGTATCAGATTTTTAATGGGTTCAGTTCACAAGTACCGATTGATCCTATATATCTTATGGTATACAACCTGATATTTACATCCGGTAAGTAAATTTATGCACTTATCGGGGGGGGGCTTACTTATCAAAAGGCCATTTAAATAAACAAATAAATAAGAGGCTATAACTTTATCTTTTCTAGCTCCCCTCCGGAACATTGGGAATGTTTTAACAGGAGATCGTACTTAGAGCTAGAGAGAGAAGAATCGTATTCCGCCTTGAGAGCCCTTCCTGTTTGTTGATTATCCCCATTGCAGACGGGGCTCTAGCTCTACATATACGTAATGTTGGTACCAAAGCAGCTGCTCCAGACAGTCCATGCCAGCCCCCCTTCATCCCCTCCCCCTCCTCCACGTCCACTAGAGAGAAGTCTTTCACGATCATGGCAGAAGTAACGGGGTCGTATTAAAGGGGAATGGGAAGGTCTCGTTGAGCAAAACCTCCGCATACCCCGATGATGTGCCTTGCTCTAGTGAACATCGTGCGTGCTCAGTATTTTGCCTTCAGTTCCTGCACTTCTTTATGGCTGTTTGGAGCAGGACGCTTCTGCGGACATACTTCTGGACGTACCAAAATTCTATGATCAAGGCCGACTAGGGAAGGTAAGCGACATATTTTCCTCGCTAATTTGTCTATCGAAAAGAACCTACTGAGGGTTTGGATATGTAGTTGATTTATAGCGGAAAAGAATGTGAAGCGTAGAATATCGCTGAACAAAAGTGCGCATAGGATTCCCCGGGTGGTGCGCGCGACAGCATGCCAGAAAAAATTGTATTTCATAACAAAGGACTATCAAGCTAGTGTTGAGGGACTATCGAGGGTGACCTTAGTCAACATAGCAAACTGCTGAAATTGGAGTTTTAACGGGACTAACGTGAAAGACACCGTGCCCATGATCAGCTCATTTTTAGTAGTTCTCATGGTCAGTTCACTTGTTTCAGAAGTATCGCTGGTACTCATTTTGGCTGAACATGCTGGACGCAGTTTGGCAGAGCGCCGTTGTCTACTGGCTGTGCCACTTTGTGAGTTTGATTAAATAGTCTTCGAGACTTAGTGGAGCGAAAACGTAAATGCATCTGAAAT